TTTATTTAAAATGCATCTCTGGGTTATTTGTGGGGCATAGGAATTCGTTCATTCCCCCCCCCCTCCAAAATATAGTCGGGCCCACCACATGGTCTGAGGGACGGTGGACTGGCCCACAGCTGAAAAAGGTTGCTGACCCCTGCAGTAGAGGAACTGCACCCTGAACCTGCCAATATATATATTTATACCCCGAACCTGCCAATATATATATTTAAACCCCACCCATCTGACTGGGTTGCCCCCAGCCACTCTGGGCGGCTTCCAACATATATAAAAACATAATAAAACATCGAACATTAAAAATCTTCCCTGTACAGTTTCCTTATCTCCTTGGCTCAGGGGTCACATAACTGCATACCCTCCAACATCTCTCCCATGAAAATAAGGACGTCCTAAGGAAAAACGGGACATTTGGGGATCAAATCAGAAACCGACCTGGCTTCTGTAAATCCGGGACTCTCCTTGGAAAATAGGGATACTTGGAGAGTCTGGACTGATCCAGCAGCGCTCTTCTTATGTCCAAGGCAATTAATCCCAAACAATATCAGGCCTTCTCTGCAGTGGCTCCCCGTCTGTGGAATGCTTTCCCCAGGGAAGTTCACCTGATGCCTTCATTATACACCTTTTAATTTTTATTTTATTTTATATATTGTGGTTTTTATGTTGATCTTTCTGTGAACCGCCCTGAGACCTCTGGGTATAGGGTGATATATTATTTTTATTAATAATAATAATATCATCAACAGGGTCTAAAATCCTCTCTTCACACAACGGAGAAAATACACACCCTTAAATCTCAACAACACCCCCCAAATATAGATAGATAGATAGATAGATAGATAGATATAGATAGATATAGATAGATAGATAGATAGAGATGAAAAGGTTTGCAGAAAAGGCTGCTTTAGGAAGGGGAATGTAGGACAATGAGTAACCCCCCCCTTTCTTTAACAAAGGTTTCTTGGCATAAAAACAGACCCCCCCCCCAAAGATCTGGGAGGGCAGAGCAACTACACAGCCAGACCCCCAACCTAGTGCCATCCCAGCGACGCCAGTAGTTCCCAACCTTTTTTTAGGCTGTGCCCCACCTAAGCATCTCTAAAATCCTGATGCCCCCCCCCCCCGCCATGACATCTAATGATTATTATTCAAAAAGCGAACTCCTATTCACCTGGAGGAAGCCTAACAGGCCCTTCACTTGGTCTAACTCGTTCTCGAATTGCCCCCCTTACAAATCAAATTGCCCCCCCCACCGGTGGTGGGGCGTGCGCCCCACGTTGGGAATCCCGGCGCTAGGCCCAAAGCAGCCTGGAAATAACCGACGCATGGCGTCTCTATGCTTCTTTAGCTCCACTTGGATTATGGCACGCCAGGCTTTTGAACCCGCATGCGTGGCGGGCCATTGAATAGGACTAGGCCAGGAGCCCCTAAACACACGGCTGTTGTTGGCGCTTAACAGATGCCCCCTCTGGCCATGTTTTATTCCTTTCTCCACCCTCCCATTTTGCAGCCGCCATCCACTCTCTGTGCCCCTAGCGGACTAGGCCTGCCAGGCTCAATTTCACGCTCAATTCCTCCCCCCGTTCTCTTCACTTCTCTCACCGGAACCGGTGGCTTATTTTTAAGACCCTCGACAGCTAGGAGTGGTGGAAAGTGATGGAGTGGAATGGTCCGTCTCTCTTTTCCGCAAAGAGCGGATACACCAAGGTGGGCAAGTCTGCTTGTTGCAAGCGAGAATTGCAGAGGCAGCGTCCCATAGGCTGAAAGGAAGCCAACCAGTTGCTGCAGGGGGAGGATAATATATATATATATATTTACAATAATATTTATTATTTTCCACACATAAACATAACGGAAGAAAGAGCCAACAATAATAAAGAAAAAAGAATGAAAAGAAAAAGAAAAGAAAAAAGAACATATAACATAAAATACATCAAATCACCACATAAACAAAAACTTAATTAATCAAAATCCATCTTCATAAACATATTACTTGACTTCCTCAAATCTCTTCCATCTGAGTTTCTTAGTAATTATATATAGCAGTTTCCAATATCATTATTTCTTAAAACCATATCACAGTCATAGTCCTATTTCCTAACTTTTCTTATTGCACATTTTCTTATTTATTTATTTAATTAATTCCAATTTAATCCTAGGCCTAATTGATTCTTTCAAGTGATTACATATCTTTAATATTACAATATTTATTCAAATAGTCTTTGAATTTCTTCCAGTCTTCTTGGTGTTCCTCTTCTTTCTGGTCACGGATTCTCCCGGTGAGATCAGCCAGCTCCATAAACTCCATCATCTTCATCTGCCATTCTTCTACCGTTGGTAGTTCTTGTGTTTTCCATTTTTTGGCTAGTAAAATCCGTGTAGCAGTTGTGGCATACAAAAATACTTTAACATCTTTTTTGGGCAGTTCGGAACCTGTTATTCCAAGGAGAAAGGCCTCTGGTTTCTTCATAAAAGTATATTTCATCATTTTTTAAAATTCATTATAAATTTTCCCCCAGAAGTCTTTTACCTTGGAGCAAGTCCACCACATATGATAGAAAGTACCTTCATTTTCTTTACATTTCCAACATAAATTATCGAGGATAATATTTTAAGGGATGGAGTGGTGGACGTGTCCCAAGGTGAAAGACTTCTGAGAAAAGATTTATAATGAATTAAAAAAAATGTTGAAAAATACATTTATTAAGAAACCAGAAGCCTTTCTACTTGGAATAACAGGACTGGAATTGCCCAAGAAGGATGCTAGACTGTTTTTGTATGCCACTACAGCAGCAAGACTTTTATTAGCCAAAAATTGGAAATTGCAAGAAATACCGACAATAGAAGAATGGCAGATGAAGATGATGGACTTTTCGGAGCTGGCTGACCTGACTGGAAGAATTCGCGACCAGAAAGAGGAGGAAACACAAGAAGACTAGAAGAAATTTAAAGAATATTTAGTGAGATATTGTAATATAAGATAATTAAGAAATCCCTAGAAGTAACAGATTAGGCTAAGGGATAGAAAAAGATTAATAATAAAGATTAATATGGATTACAATTGGAAGTAAGGTTAAGAAGTTTGTAATGAAAGAAGATACTGATGCTATAAATATGTAATTGGGAACTGTTAAATATGTAACAAGATAAAATCCAGATTGGAGGGTGTCGAGGAAGTGTTTTAGCAATGTAAATACACCAGGGAATAAGAAGAAAAAAATCTTCTTTTATTTTGTGTGTTTTTATTGTTGTTAAGTTTTTATGTTGTGTCAAATGTAATGTTTTTCCTTTGTGTTTTTGTCTATGTGTTATAAGAGAAAACTAACAATTTTTTTTTTGGGGGGGGGAATAATTAAGGGATGGGGGCTACAGAGTATGGGGCGACCGTTTTCGAGTGGCTTTGAAAAAGCACGACTTTTTTCTAATGTTATCATCATCATCATCATTCTACTTCCCATCCAAAAGCAATTTACAGTATAATAAAAACATAATAATAATAATAATAATAATAATAATAATAATAATAATAAACAACTTTTATTTGTATCCCGCCTTCCCCAGCCGAAACTGGGCTCAGGGCGGCTAACATCAAATATATAACTTTGGTATAAAATCAAACAAGAATTAAATCACCTCCTAAAAACAAGTCAGGATCAAATTAAAATGAGAGCAGTTTTATATACAAATCAGTTACACATACAAAAACATTTTGGCATGTATCAGTACACGATTTACATCTGTATATAAACATATACATGCACTACCTCCCCACCCCCCACACAAAAATAAAAAGGGTTTTAAACAGCAGTAGACCATACATAAAACTAATTGTGGCCTCCCTGTGGAACGCCCTCCCATCAGATGTCAAGGAAATAAACAACTATCTGACTTTTAGAAGGCATCTGAAGACAGCCCTGTTTAGGGAAGTTTTTAATGATGTTTTTATCGCTTTATTATTATTATTCTGTTGAGAGCTGCCCAGAGTGGCTGAGGAAACCCAGGGAAGATGGGCAGGGCATAAATAATAAATTGTTGTTAATAATAATAATAGCAACAACAACCATAAAGGTAAGGTACCTCTGCCCGTACGGGCCAGTCGTGTCCGACTCTAGGGTTGTGTGCTCATCTCACTTAAGAGGCCGGGGGCCAGCGCTGTCCGGAGACACTTCTGGGTCACGTGGGCAGCGTGACGAAGCTGCTCTGGCAAGCCAGCGCCAGCGCAGCACACGGAAACGCCATTTACCTTCCCGCTATAAAGCAGTACCTATTTATCTACTTGCACTTAGGGGTGCCTTCAAACTGCTAGGTGGGCAGGAGCTGGGACAGAAAGACGGGAGCTCACCCCGCCGCAGGGATTCGAACCGCCGACCATACGATCAGCAAGTCCTAGGCACTGAGGTTTTACCCACATCGCCACCCGCGTCCCTACATTATTATTAATAATAGCAACAACCACCATATTAATTATTATTATTATTATTATTATTATTATTATTCAGATCAATACAGATGTCAGCTGAGAAAAATATATCCATTTATAAAGTTTTTATTTATACTTTTCAAATTTATACATTTCATTAATTTTACAATCATTTTAACATTTCAAAGTTTGACTTCCTTCCCCCTTTCTCTGCAGTTCCTTAAATTCACTTTTTAAATATCTTCTGCATGTCCAAATTCATTTAGTTTGCTCATTTAATTATCTACTTTAAACGTAAACTTATGAAAATGCAGGTTATTAAAATAATCCTGCCAATGTTTTTATCTGTTTGCAATTTATCTGTAAATATTCAATAAACCATTTCCATTCTTTTATAAGAATATTCTCTTGATTTCTTATTCTTCCGGTGAGTTTCACCATTTCTGCATATTCCGTAAGTTTCGTATCCATTCTTCCTTTGCTGGGACAGGCTAATTAATGGTTTAAGATAGGGGACCGTATCAGAGTGGCAAAGCCAACAAGCAATGAAAGAATGAAAAAAGGAAATATCCAGACTTCATTACAAAATTGGATACCTTTATTGAATATTATGATACAAATCTGCTATATTCAGTTATAAAACACATTTTACCTTATTATGAGATGATTAAATTATTTATGTAAAAAAAGAGCAGAAATGTGACTGTAATTCACTCTTGGAAGAATTTTTCATTTTATAAATATGCAGAATTCATCAGCACTGTGGTAAATTTTCCAGAGCAGTTTGACAGCACTTCAAATTCTGGGCACCACTCAGCGTTAAGTCACCCAGTGTTAAGCTAAGCTCCATGGCTACAGTCTTTATTGGAACTGGGAAAGCTGATCAACTAGGCATAAGGTAGGCACATAAAAAACCCACAATCTTGGGACCACTCTGAAAATATACTCACAGCATTTTCTTTATATGCACAAGAGGAAACTGGTCCCGCCAGTTTGCTTGGCTGCTGTCCATAATGTCACCAAGAAACCTCTCCCCACAGCATAGGATCTAAAAATTTTTTTATTCAGTTTCACAATTAAGATTATGACTTGTATGTGAATGTAAATGTTAAGTATATAGGATTCCCTGAAATCTTGGGACTTCCCTCCATGGGTTCCATTATTAATCCGTTTTGCCCTGCATCTCATATTTTCCTCAAAATCCTCATTATACCCTAGTTCTTACGAAATCACAAGTGTTTTTCCAATCCTGCCAAGGTTTTTAATTCTTTGCAGTGTTCTCCTAAGTAGCTTATACATTTCCCCCATTCTGTATTAAAGCTTTTGTCTTCTTGGTTTCTAATTCTCCCGGTCATTTTCGCCATTTCGGCATAGTCCATCATCTTTATCAGCCAGACTTCTCTGGTAGGGACTTCTTCTATCCACAGGATCTAAATTTCACTGTAATCCCAAGAGAAACCTCTGTGACGTATATGAGCTGCCTTGAAGAAGTCTGAAGAGGCGATGGAGAAATTTACACTCTAAATAAATGAATAAACAACCACATCCCCTCTGTTCTCTTTACAGATGTGTTGAATTCATTGCCAAGAGTTGTTGCTTATGTCAATGTGGATAATAAGCCCCTACTGTTTTCACAAGAATCATTCCCGATTTCTAAACATTTTTTCATAAAATTCCAGATCTTCGTTGGTTAGCGACGGTTTGATGATCTCCAAGGATTTTTCAAAATGTTTCTGCTTCACAGGTGTTGCTTCAACTTTGTTCTCTTGCAATGCCAATAAAGCAGCCTAAAAGGTAGGGGAGGAGAGACCGACACAAATGAAGCTTAGTTAATGAACACGACTAAGTAAAGGCCAATCATTTCCATACACCGACTCTGAGCATAAAACTTAACTGACTACCATCCATTATTTCTACTCCAGGCGTGGGATACCTCCAGCTCATGGACCTACTTAGGGTTTCAATTTAACCCCAAAAGGCTATTTTCCCCAAACCAGACCTACCACCCATCTGCTCTGCTCTGCTGCCATGTGTGAAATCAGACGTGGAGAGACAAACCTGCGGTTGCTAATAATAATAATAATAATAATAATAATAATAATAATAATTTATTTATACCCCTGCCACTCTGGGAGGCTCCCAACAGATTATAAAAAACACAATAAAACCATCAAACATTAAAAACTTCCCAAAACAGGGCTGCCTTCAGATGTATCTAAAAGTCAGATAGTTGTTTATTTCCTTGACATCTGATGGGAGGGCGTTCCACAGTAATACATCAGACATTAAAAGCTTCCCTAAACAGGGCTGCCTTCAGATGTCTTCTAAACGTTTGATAGTTATTTTTCTCTTTGACATCTGGTGGGAGGGCATTCCACAGGGTGGGCGCCACTACCGAGAAGGCCCTCTGCCTGGTTCCCTGCAACCTCACTTCTCAGAGTGATGAAACCGCCAGAAGGCCCTCAGAGCTGGACCTCAGTGTCCGGGCTGAATGATGGGGGTAGAGACGCTCCTTCAGGTATACTGGGCCAAGGCCATTGAGGGCTTAAAGGTCAGCACCAACACTTTGAATTGTGCTCGGAAACGTACTGGGTGCCAATGTAGGTCTTTCAGGACTGGTGTTATAAGGTCTCGGCGGCCGCTCCCAGTCACTAGTCTAGCTGCCCGCATTCTGGATTAGTTGTAGTTTCTGGGTCACCTTCAAAGGTATCCCCACGCAGAGCGCATTGCAGTAGTCCAAGCAGGAGGTAACTAGAGGATGCACCACTCTGGCAAGACAGTCCATGGGCAGGTAGGGTCTCAGCCTGCGTACCTGATGGAGCTGGTAGACAGCTGCCCTGGACATAGAATTGACCTGTGCCTCCATGGACAGCTGTGAGTCCATAATGACTCCCAGGCTGCGCACCTGGTCCTTCAGGGGCACAGTCACCCCAGCTCATGGACCTACTTAGGGTTTCGATGTGGCCCATGAGGCTGTTTTCCCCAAACCACACCCACCTGCCCTGCACCTGATGCCATGGGTGAAATCAGACATGGGAGAGATATGCCTACGGTTGCCAATGCACAATTGGGAGCCTTAAAATGTGCTTCTGATTGTGCATTGGCAAACGATTAGCTGAGTTGTGGTCAGAGCAAGCCCGCTGGGATCAGCCAGGATATTGAGTTCACAGGGAACTCAGTAGTGCAGATGACCTCTGTTAAGTTGTGGGTGAACATATCAGCCGACACAGCGATTCTTCAAACAGCTCTTGTTTATTCACAGGCCAGGACAGAACAGAACTGAAGGGTTCAGTCAGCCTGAGTATATAGACCTCCTGTACAAGGTAACTGTAATTTTCTAAAACTATCCAATCACTGAACGTCACTTTCGATCCCTTATTTGCATAACTATCTACAGTATCCCCCTGCTGGCCCAGGGTGAGAACTTCAGTACATAACAACCTCTGTCCAAAGTGGGGCATGGAGAAGTCCAGCAGGTTTGAAATTACTGCCTATCAGCCATAGGTGATGATGCCAAGTATTGGCGGTGTGACCTATTTGCCTGAGGGAATATCCCTCTGGTTAGGTGGTAACTCCAGGCCTTGCTTGACTTTTCTTTTTGCCCTGCTGCGAAGGGAAAATTGGTCGCCTGATGTCCGTAAGATAGGTGGCAAAGTGTGGGGGATCCATTTACCCACTCCTGTCCTATGTAATCTTACCACCGGGGGCTGTAACGACCATTGACATGATCCTGTAAGATCTTCTTAGATTAGGAATGGAACACCAGCACGATCTGGGAGCAATTTCAATATACATTGCCTGTGTATATCCTCATGGAAAGCAGTGACCCTCATGCTAATCACAATGCCATGAAATGCCAAAACTGCCCAACCTCCACAAGGTTGTTGTGAGAATAAAGTGTGCGGTGGGGAAGGAGACCCATGAGGTACACTGAAGTTCTTGGTGGAAGAACACAATCAAAATGTAGACGAGTCCAACACAATGGGTCTACTCCAAATACAATCCAGTTGGATTTCACCACTATATCTGCCTCTTTTGAGTTTGCTGACATACTGTATTCTTAATTTGTACCAGATACTAAATTAAATTAAGAAGCCATTTGAATTTCCCAGCTGAGATCTTTGAAGGCAAAAACAATCAAATCACTATAACATCTAATTATTTGCAATGCTAGACTTTGTCTCTTCCTTACAAACACAAACTTCATTTCATTGAGATTTTACTTCTCTCTCAAGCTTACATGAAGCCTTTCCCCCTTAATTAGGAAAAATTAGAACATTTCAGAAAACTCTCCCAAGACTAATTAGGCCTAATTAGGAAAATTAAAAAGCCTTACCTCCTTGCAAAGATTTTCAAGGTCAGCTCCAGAGAACAGATTAGCACAAGCTGCTATATCCTCTAGAGAAACATCGGGATCAACGGGAATTTTTTCAGTGCAGATTTTCAAAATAGAAAGCTTTCCCTAATACAAAACAGAAAAGAAAGGGTCAGAGTTACGTATTTGTAAGTTAGAAGGCAGCCAGCTGGGGAGGCTAGCTGAGAGCGGAATGATGTTTTCCTTAATGGATCACACATCAGATTTCAGGAACGGCATAAAATAAATACAGCCTCCCAAAGCAGATAAAAGTATTTGCCCATTTTAGACAGCTTCCCAAATTCCCTTATAGTGGCAAAAAGAGCAACAGCAAGCAAACTACCTATAAGGGACATTTATTCTCTGTTATTGATCTTTTCACCATGATACCTCTGAAAAGTTTCTAATGAACCTCAGACCTCCCTGGAACACAGTTTGAAAGCCAGTATTCTGATGCGTTAAAGTACAAGTCCAGTCTACTCTGAAATAGGTTTAACACTTTTAAAAAAGAAAAATAACAATTATGATATACAGTGGTACCTCGGGTTAAGTACTTAATTCGTTCCGAAGGTCCGTACTTAACCTGAAACTGTTCTTAATCTGAAGAACCACTTTAGCTAATGGGACCTTCTACTGCTGCCGCGCAGCGCAGCACGATTTCTGTTCTCATCCTGAAGCAAACTTCTTAACCTGAAGCACTATTTCTGGATTAGCGGAGTCTGTAACCTGAAGCGTATGTAACCCGAGGTACCACTGTACACTGTTGAGTTCAGACATAGCACCGAACCATGGACTGGCATTATATCTAAAACTAGGTCAACTTACAAAGTATGGTTTGCAAAGGGCTGTCAAACTGGGAACTCACAGCTACTACTTTATAATTTATTTCACAAAATTTATGCACCACTTAATTGTGTGTTTGTTGTTTTTGTTTTACAAAGTAGCATGCTAACTGCAGCCTGCTGTTGTGTGTCTCAGAAGGCAAATGCATCTTTAGAATGGCACAAACTTGGGAAGCTGAGTTCTAAGTGGATGCAATATGAAAGCAGACAATCAGCTCTAAATCCTGGGCTTGCCTGCAAAATACCCAAGTCTCAAGAGGCTTCATATACCTTTCTTTGTGAAAAACAGAATGCTCGTAATTACCTATCTCTGCGGTTTAAAATTCACCTCTGGATTTGTGCCCTACCTTCCGATCTGGAGGTGGAATATAGATGATCTTGTCAAACCGTCCAGGACGCAACAAGGCATCGTCCAACATGTCTGGTCTGTTGGTTGCAGCGACGACGACGACATCTTTGTTGAAAACCTCCTGAAATTCCAGCTAGAAAGTTGGCAAAAATTAAACGCTTGAAAAATAAGCATTTGCACATTAACTGTCTGTCTGTCTGTCTGTCTGTCTGTCTGTCTGTCTGTCTCTACCTAGCTAATATTTATTAAATTTTCTGTTTTACAATTTAAAATATTAATTTTACATCCTTAAGATATCAATGACTTCCCTTCTTCTCTTTCCATGGTTTATTTTACATATCATAAATCCCTGCATATTTTACAAAAACTGTACCATTCATTATTCCATTATTGCATCCATCAAAGCTTATTTACACTGTTGAATTTATCTTAATGCTACCAGCATTTTCAGCTGTACAAAATTATTTCCCATATATTCAATAAACGTTTTCCAGTCTTCCTTAAACGTCTGTTCTTCTTGTTCTCTTATTCTGTGTGTTAAGTCTGCAAGTTGTGCATATTCTGTCAACTTAAGCTGCCATTCTTCTTTGGTTGGGACCTCGCTAGTTTTACATTTTTGGGCTAACAAAACACAGGCCACAGTAGTGGCATACATAAGTAACCTTTTTTGACACCTGGGAATTTCAGGCTGAATTATCCCCAAAAGGAAGGATTCTGGGTCTTTTAAACATTCCCCCCCCAATTCATTACTGGGGGGAAAACGTTTAATTCACATTAACTGTATATCCTGCTTATTCACCCAAAATTAAAGGTGGCTTTAGATTACCCCACATACTTGTTTTAGACAGCAAGTCAACTAAGAAAAGAATTAGGCTGCAATCCTATAAATAAATACTAGGAATAAGCCTCACTGAACTCAATGGAACATACTTCAGAGTAGACCAGGCTTCCTCAACCTCAGCCCTCCAGATGTTTTGGGCCTACAACTCCCATGATCCCTAGCTAGCAGGACCAGTGGTCAGGGATGATGGGAATTGTAGTCTCAAAACATGCGGAGGGCCGAGGTTGAGGAAGCCTGGAGTAGACATATATAAGATTATACTGATGGAGATTTATAATTTGGCATAAAATTTGAACTGTTAGATTGCATTACAATTTGGAATGTTTTTAAGGTGGCTTTTATTGGATTATTAAAATGGAAAATTTAATAAATATTATTCTTAAAAAAAAAAAGATTGTACTGATGGTAACAAAAAGTTTAACTAACTCTTTTCATGTACAGGATTGTCCAGGGTTATAGAACTATGAGGCATAGATGGAAATCCTGTGGCCTTATGATGTTGAACTACAACTCCCATTGCCCTTGACTGCTGGCCAAGCTGGCTGGGACTAGCTATAAGTTTCCCATCCCTGTTACGCAATACTGTATTACAAGAAAGCCAACTAGTTCTTTATTCAGGATTTATCAGAATTAAAGCCCAATCTGAGATAATCATTGTTGTATGTAGCTTATACCCATTACAACCTTTGTAGACATAAAATGCAAAGTAAGCAAACTTATGGAAACGGTTTCAGAGAAACCCATTTGCAATATTTTCCCCACGCATCCTTCTATTTATCTGTTTATATCTAACATTGCCAGTGGTAGTATTTATCAATTTAAGGGAAAATGCATTCAAAGATAACTGTGCAGAAAACTGAACAAAATGATTTTCAAAACGATTTAATAGATGGGTGGGGTGTAAATAAATAGTAATAATATAATAATAATAATAATAATAATAATAATAATAATAATAATAATGGACTTAAGAACCTACTACTGACAGCGTTCCCTGGGGAAATGGACTGATTATTAAACCACTCTGGGAATGGTATCTCTGTGAGAGGATTAAGCGTCTCCTAACAACTCTCAGAGGGACGCAGGTGGCGCTGTGGGTTAAACCACAGAGCCTAGGACTTGCCGATCAGAAGGTCGGCAGTTCAAATCCCTGCAACGGGGTGAGCTCCTGTTGCTCGGTCCCTGCTCCTGCCAACCTAGCAGTTTGAAAGCACGTCCAAGTGCAAGTAGATAAATAGGTACCGCTCCGGGGGGAAGGTAAACGGCGTTTCCGTGCGCTGCTCTGGTTCGCCAGAAGCGGCTTAGTCATGCTGGCCACATGACCCGGAAGCTGTACACTGCAGGAAGCCATGACTGTTTAAAGTGGCATGATACTGCTTTAATTCTACAGTGCATAAGGGGCCTGTGTCCATTGTTGCAACCTAGCTTTCTGCGTTTATGCCATAACAGATCCAGCAGATAGAAATGAGCTCATCTACAAAAGCAAAAGGATGAAAAAACATCTCGTTATGAGAATTAGATACCTCTCTATCATTTTCTGTTTGTTCTCGACTGTCGTTTTCCAGCTCGGCTTTATTTCCTCTCCTCTCCGTTAACTTCAGCCCAACGCCATCCAATTCATTAAGGAGGACAGAAAGAACTCTCTCCTGGACGCCACGCCCTGTTTTACTGACTGACCGAGATCCCAGGATAGAGTCGATCTCATCAAGGAACACAATTGCAGGTGCATTGGCTCTTGCTTGACGAAATACCTTGAATAAGTAAAATTAAGCGGCGGGTGGGGGAGAGGGGGAGATAGGTAGAAATCATATATCTGTGCAGAATGCATAATTTAAGACAAATGGGGGGAAGACATGCATTTTTTCCTATGTTAAAATGAAGTGTAAATTCTTCTTTGCACAGGGGTACTTTGGCTCTCAAATGCCTTGGTACTCAAACAACTTGGAACCCAAAAAGTGCAAACCTGGAAGTGTTCCGGTTTGCAAACCTTTTTCGGAAGCCAAAAGTGCTGTTTTACGCTTCTGATTTGAGTGCCACGCTTCCGTTTTGAGTGTCTGTCTGTTTTTGCTATTTATTTTGCATTTTTGTGGCTTTTTTTGTTTTGTTTTCGTGACTGTGTGGAACCCAGTTCAGCTACTGATTGATTGCGTGACTGCAGTACATTGTTTATTGCTTTCGTTTTATGGATCAATGGTCTCGTTAGATAATAAAATTCATGTTAAATTTCTGTTTTAGGGATTGTTTTTATAAGTCTGGAACGGATTAATCCATTTTGCATTACTTCCTATGGGAAAGTGTGCCTTGGTTTTGGAACGCTTTGGTTTTGGAATGGACTTCCAGAACGGATTAAGTTTGAGAACCAAGATAGCACTATACTTGCTGAAGCCAAATATACCCACTCTGATTTGTAGGAGAGCTTCTTTTGCATGATATAAAGATCTCAGAAACTTGCTCTGCAGTAACTCAAAGCAAGGCTTTTGGTGTGGCTGTCTGTTTCTGTTGACCTTCGGCAGGCAACCACAATCTGCACTTTCACGAAACAACTGAAGAATTTATATTTCTGACAGGCTTTCCCTGTTGGATAAATAGGTATTTACCATGAGTGTCTATTTTGTTATGGTTTTATTTATTTATTTATTTACTTACTTAGCTTTTTATTTATTCTTTTCAAATTTATACATTTCATTAGTTTTACAATCAATTTCACGTTTCAAAATTTGACTTCCTTCCCCCTCTTTCTGCGGTTCCTTAAATTTATTTTTTAATATTTTCTGCATATGCAAATTCATTTGACTTGCTCATTTAATTACCTACTGTAAATATATACTCTTATAAGACTGCAGGTCATTACAACAATCTTGCGAATGTTTCTGTTTCTGTTTAACTGTTTTTAATTCTCTTATGTGCAAATTGCCTTGAGGTGGTTGTTTGGAAGGTGATTAATAAACTACCACCAACAATTTTTAAAGGCATAAAAAGTCAGCCCTGCCACACTGAGAGATAAATAGAAATCTGTGAAAAAGGCTCAATACAAAAAATTAGCATCAAGTTGAAAGGTACTTCAATTAGCATGGCTTGTCTAAAGTTACGATGTATACAGGTAGCCCTTAATAATGAAAGTATAGACATAAAATATAATAATAATAATAATAATAATAATAATAATAATAATAATAATAATATAAATATATTCCCCACTCATCCAGCTGGGTTTCCCAAGTCACTCTGGGCGGCTCCCAACAGAATATTATTATTAATAATAATAAAGTGATAAAAGATAAAACATTTAAAACTTCCCTAAACAGGGCTGCCTTCAGGTATCTTCTAAAATTCAGACAGTTGTTTATTTCCTTGAAATCTGTTGGGAGGGTGTTCCACATGGTGGGCGCCACTACCAAGAAGGCCCTCTGCCTGGTTTTCATGTTTAACTGTTTTTTATTATCTTAAATTATCTTATTCTATGGACATAATGTCACCTCAGATGCAATAAAGTCGGCATAATAAAATGAGTTTTGTGCCTGTGTGCTCTTTCCTGCCTTCTCTAGCACACTGTAACAGAAAACTTAAACCATTTCTGAAACCACCAATTTCTTCTTGTCCCCAAACCAGGAAACCAAAGTTTAATCTCAGTCTATCAGCCACAATATAAAACTAAAATCTAGCTATGGGTTATTAAAGCAGGATGGCTAGGTCTGAACTGGCCAACTATTTAACGTGGTCCATTTTCACCCAAGGACTGTAGACTATGAGGAGAATAAAAAACAAACCTGAGACAAAATCTTCTCCGAATCTCCAACGTAAGGCGAGAAAAGGTCGGCGCCGCTCACAGACAGAAAGGAACAGTGACAGCTTGTGGCTGCTGCTTTTACAAGCGTAGTTTTGGCGCAACCTGACGGTCCATACAAAAGGATGCCCTTCGGGCGGGCAAGCCCCATTCTCACAAAAGCCTCTGGGAATTTTATAGGCCATTCAATACTCTGCAAATACAAAAAAGCCGTAGAAACTTCCATTAATTCCTTATAACATTAGATCATACAAGGCAACACTGAATGGGGTAACTGTGCCCCTGAAGGATCAGGTGCACAGCCTGGGAGTCATTTTGGACTCACAATTGTCCATGGAGGCGCAGGTTAATTCTGTGTCCAGGGCAGCCGTCGACCAGCTCCATCTGGTACGCAGGCTGAGACCCAGACTGTCTCGCCAGAGCTCTGGTTATCTCCCGCTTGGACTACTGCAGTGCACTCTATGTGGGGCTACCTTTGAGAGTGACCCAGAAACTGCAACTAATCCAGAATGCGGCAGCTAGACTGGTGACTGGGAGTGACCATTGAGACTGTATAACACCAGTCCTGAAACACCTAGGTTTCCCAGTATGTTTCAGAGCACAAATTAAAGTGTTGGTACTGACCTTTAAAGCCCTAAATGGCCTTGGCCCAGTTTAGATGGGAAACCTAGCCAGATGTGCGGGGTAGAAATAATAAATTATTATTACACCTGAAGGAGTGTCTCCACCCACATTCTCCAGCCTGGACACTGAGGTCCAGCTCTGAGGGCATTTCTGGTGGTTCCCTCCCTGCGAGAAGTGAGGTTACAGGGAATCAGGCAGAGGGCTTTCTGGGTAGTGGCACCCACCTTGTGGAATGCCCTCCTATCAGATGTCAAGGAAATAAACAACGATCTGACTTTTAGAAGACATCTGAAGGCAGCCCTGTTTCAGGAAGTTTTTAATATTTGCTGTTTTATTGTGTTTTTAATATTCTGTTGAGAGAATAAAAAATTGTAAAACATCAGACATAAAAAATTCCCGATACATACCTAGTGAAACCAAACCCAAAACTTCCCTTTCCAGCAAAAGGGATTATAATTATTGCTTCCTTTGTTCAAAATAAATGGAGTAAATGAAGAATGCCCCCAGAAATCCACCCCAAACTGATAAAGTCTTATTTCTCCTATGTGCTAAGTGCACCTTATAATATACCGGTACTGTACTCCTTTACACTAAACTCCAATATAATCTTACAGATCTTCAACAGTTATCAGAGACAAGGGGAAATTATATCAGGTTAATTCATGGTTGTTTTTTCAAAGTTTTTATTTATACTTTTCTGTTGGGAGTGGCTGGGGAACCCAGCCAGATGGGAGAGGTATAAATAATAAATTATCCAGAGAGAAATAGCTTTCTGCTAAACAAACAACATTCCTGGTTTTGAGTTTCCTTTAAGACTTTGAGCTGATAACTTTCTCTGCATTCTACACTCCGCAGCACTGAGTGTAGGGGCCTTCTCTGCAGTGGCTTCCCATCTGTGGAACGCTCTCCCCGGGGAAGTTCACCTGATGCCTTCATTATACACCTTTAGGTGCCAGGTAAAAACATTCCTCTTTAACCGGGCCTTTGGCTGATTGATATCCGATGCCCTTTTAAAATGTGTTGAGGGGTGTTAATTGGGTTGTTTTTGTTTTACTATGCATTTTGTGTTTTTATATTGTAAAGACCTGTGCGTATTGGGCAATATACAAAAATTTAATAAATATTAATAATACTTGCTCCTTATGACATTTCTAGTCTGGTCCCAGGTTATGGTCCTGAAGGCAGTAAACCGCTTGCAGAGGGAAGTCCCCCTCCACCCCATTCTCTCTGCCATGTAGAGAAATAATTCTCACAAAACTAACAAAGTATTTTGAACCCTCTAAATAAGCACAAGGAACGTGTGGTCCTCTGGATACTGGTGGATTCAAACTCCCACCAGCCCCTACATCAACAATGGTCAGGATCTAACAACCTCTTGGAGGTCCACAGTTTCCTGATTCCTGATTTAAGCGGTCATCTAAATCCGGCTACCATCTTACATGTTATGTTGTCTCACGGGGCTAACATCAGTAGTGCTATAAACATCTCCCCAGGCTCCATACAGGGAGAGAGCTGAAAATGTGATAAATAAGGTAATAATTGCAGAATCCAAGACCTGTGAAAGTATAGCTGTCCTTGTCTCTGTAACACTACCTGTTTTAACTTGAGTTTCACATCTTCAAGGCCACCAATCTGATCCCAGGTGACAGGCCTGAAGTCTGCCAGCCCAACTCCACTTCGAACAGAGGACGGCCGAATCTTTTTCAATGCTTCATGGAAGTCTGACATGTGCACTGTGTCAATTGACTCCTGTAGAAATATACGTAGAAGCAGAGGAAAAAAGGTTTGTTTGCTTTTATTGCCCCAAACCCTGAAGTCACTCACTTCTGAGAAGTCTTAGCAGCCCTGCCAATGAACAATCAGTCCGTATATCTGGGTCCACAACTTACCGTATTTTTTGCACCATAACACTCACTTTTTTCCTCCTAGAAAGTAAGGGGAAATGTTTGTGCGTGTTATGGAGGGAATGCCTACGGGTGGCATGCCTACGGATTTTCCTCCTCTAAAAACTACGTGCGTGTTATGGTCGGGTGCGTGTTATAGAGTGAAAAATACGGTACATTTATATACTGCTTTCTGACATGGCACCCAGAGCAGTTTACAGTGGCAAAATACTAAAGCAAATAAATGATATAAATTATAGGTGTAAAGGTAAAGGACCCTGAAAGGTTAAGTCCACTCAAATGTGATTATGGGGTTGCAGCGCTCAACTCACTTTCAGGCCGAGGGAGCCAGCGTTTGTCCAGACAGCTTTTCGGGTCATGTGGCCAGAATGACAACTGCTTCTGGTGCAACGGAATGCTGTGGCAGAAACCAGGGCGCACGGAAATGCTGTTTCCCACTCCAGTGGTACCTATTTATCTACTTGAACTGGCGTGCTTTCGAACTGCTAAGTTGGCAGGAGCTGGGACAGAGCAACAGGAGCTCATCCCGTTGTGGGGATTCGAACTGCCGACCTTCTGATCGGCAAGCCCAAAAGGCTCAGTGGTTTAGACCACAGCGCCACCTGTGTCCCCACAACAAATTGTACAGTTGGGCAGGGAGGGGACAGTTTGACTGGAGCTGTCTCTAATATTGTCTTCGCCTGGTTGCCTCACTTTTCCCTTCTTTCCCACAGGGCAGACAGTGTCTGTTACAACATTCAAGTTATAATGTTTTACAACACTCTGATTCTACAGAGATGTGCAACTCTGCAATACTATCCAGGAGCTTGTGATAACATAGCTACAGAGGCCTCCTAGGGGAAGCAACTGTGGCTATGTGATATTAATAATTACTAGCAACCTAGTAGTCTAAAAGATACCAGTGCAAGTGGCTAAACAAGTAAGTGGACAGATAAATAGGTACTGCTGCGGAGGGAAGGTAAACAGCATTTCCGTGCGCTCTGGTTTCCGTCACAGTGTTCTGTTGCGCCAGAAGCGGTTTAGTCATGCTGGCCACATGACCCGGAAAGCTGTCTGTGGACAAACGCCAGCTCCCTCGGCCTGAAAGCAAGATGAGTGCCGCAACCCCAGTCACCTTTGTTAGGACTTAACTGTCCAGGGGTCCTTTACCCTACGAGCAAAAACACCCATTGTTGAGTGGGGGAACTGAGAAAGGTCCTGTGAACTGTAGAATCTGGGTCTGTTCAGTGGGATTGGCCAGAAAGACCGCCTCTCCCCGCACCCAGCTCAAATTGTCTCTCTGACACTGTAACCCTGTGTTTATAGAGATGGCTGGAGCAAGCAGACACCTATAACCATATACAGTGGTACCTCGGTTCTTGAACATCTCCGTTGACAAATGTTTCAGAACCCAAACACTGAAAACCCGGAAGTAAATGCTTCCATTTTCGAATGCGCCTCAGAAGTCGAACGGTTTCTGCTGCGTGTTTTTCAATTTTCTCAACTGAATTTGCAGACAGTCCTTTGTGCCTCGGTTTTTGAATGTTTTAGAACTCAAATGGTCTTCTGGAAAGGATTATGTTTGATAACTGAGGTACCACTGCATTGCTAATCTCAATGCAGCAAGCATTCCTCAATCCCTGATAGCAGCTCATTTTACTTTGTGCTCTAGAATGTAATGGGGATCACTGATAAATGAGCTTGACTGTAAATGTCTCAGCCTAGGTTGCGTTCCTTGGCCATATTACAGGGTGTGAAAGGCACAGATTCCAGAAATAGGCACATATATGATATACCACCGCACACAGAGTGCATCTGCAACAAAACATTGCAGTGGAGAGTATTGCTTCTCATGATCCCAGTTGCCCCCTTATCTGCCACCTCGAACAGTCAGTTGGTATTCCATGGCCACTGTGCAAAGTTTGGAGAGTCCCCTTCTTAGGGTTTTCCTCGCCAGATATCTTGTACTTTTGCAAAGCTCAACAATTTTGGGGTCTTCCTAAAAAAACAACTCATCAACTTTCGGGGTGTGCTGGTTGTTACTTTCTGAAATATGGCAACCCCCAGTTATAACCCCTTCCTGAGTTTGGGTGGTGTCAGTTAATGGTACCCACTGCCTGAACATCAGAAAAAGGGAGAATCGTACATATCAGGCATGTAGAGTTCAACCACTGTTGCCGACTCTGTGATGGGCAAACAAGTTATTTCCAGTGTTATCATCTCAGTCTCTTCTGCATCCCAGGTGTGTGAATCATTGATATCTAGTAAATATGGGTTACACAGTGACACAGACACTCAATTGCACCTGTAGAACTGACACAAGTCCCCCAAGCTGGTTCCCCACCCCACCCTAGATGTTGTGCGGGCGCAGCAACTCAAAACAGGAAGCCCTGTTTAGGGACGTTTTTAATATTTAATGCTGTATTGTTTTTAACACTTGATTGGAAGCCGCCCAGAGTGGCTGGGGAAACTCAGCCAGATGGGCGGGGTATAAATAATATATTATTATTATTATTATTATTATTATTATTATTATTATTATTATTAAACCAAGCTATGTCTATTTGCAGCCACAATGTCACACAGGATAAAGCTGTTGAGTATTTAGCCCAAAGCGCGGCAGGGGGAAGAGTGCATGGGAGGAGACCCCCCCCCAGTGCACAAAAATATTCTGGGCTGACATCTGAAATAACTCCTTACCGAAGAGGCACGAAACACAGCCTGCATTGCAGCCTCTCTGCAGAGCGCCGTAAGGTCAGCTCCAACATAACCGGTGGTTATTTCTGCAAGTTCAAGCAAATTAACATCGTTCGACACAGGCATGCCAGCAGTAATCAACTGCAGAATAGACCTCCTTTGCTTCATGGTTGGCGTCCCGATTATAACCTAAGAAAAGAGCAAATGGAAAGAAATGTGTTGCTACCTTGGTGTATCCTGACAATTCACAACCTGTATTAACCGCAGGCAACGCAGGGCTTATCAAAAGCAAATCTCAGCCCAATTTCGAGTGCAAAGGTTTCAATCAGGAATGGGCAATCTCTAGCCTGACAGGTGCTGTGGGACTCCAACTCCCATCATCCCTCCTTGCTGCTTAGACTGACTGGGGCAGATGGGAATTGTAGTCCGGCAAAAATATGGAGGACTGACGGTTCTGCAACCCTGTGCTAGATGGGCTGAACTAAACCTCAGACCTGAGCTTCTTCATAATGTTCTTCTCCAGCCAACTCAGATGGCTTTAAAAGACACCCTCCAATGTCCACATAATGAGCAAATTCTACAAAGTAACCCCAATGTGTAAGCGTCACCGTAAATTTATTTATCACCCCGTTTTCCATCATTCCAACTATGGGGCAGGACTGGAACTGTCCATTTCTAAATATTACCACTTGGAACAAAAGAAGTCTGGGAAATGTACTTCTGAAAATGTGCCAGATGATAAAAGAGTTCTCTCGCAGGAACTACAACTCTACAGTCCTTTGAGGAAAGCCATGACACCCCAAGGTCATTGAGAGGGCTCCCCCTTCCTTTTCTTTCCATAATTTTTATCAAATTTTCTGTTTTACATTTTAGAATACAGTGGTACCTTGGTTTTCGAGCATCTCGGAAGCCGAACGCTTGGGTTTTCGAACGCCTAAAACCCAGAAGTCAATGCTTCCGTTTTCAAACGTGCCTAAGAAGTCAAACGGCTTCCGCTGAGTTTTTTTTTTTAATTTTCTCCACTGCAGACCGCCCTTTGCGCCTCGGTTTTCAAACATTTCAGAAGTCAAACAGTCTTCTGGAATGGATTACGTTCGAAAACCAAGGTACCACTGTATTCATTTAAACAACCTTAAAATGTCATTGACTTCCCTTCCTCTCTTTCCATGGTTCATTTTGCCTAACATAAATCCCTGCATATTTTACATAAACTAAACCATTCAGTATTCCATTATTACATCCATCAAAACTTATTTTCACTGTTGAATCCTAATGCTGCCAACATTTTCAAGTGTACACAATTTCCCCCCATATAATCAATAAATGTTTTCCATTCTTTTTTAAATGTATGTTCTTCTTGTTCTCTTATTCTATATGTTAGGTCCAGAAGCTGCGCATATTCCATCGGTTTAAGTTGCCATTCTTCTTTAGTTGGGACCTCGCTCGTTTTCCATTTTTGGGCTAAGAAAACACGGGCTGCAGTAGTAGCAAAAAAAAGAAAGAAAAAAAAAAAGAAAAAGCTCCCCCTCCCTAAATGAAGCAGTAAACAGCAATCACAAGTAACTAGATATAATTTACAATCACCTCTCGGTCCAGTCTGCCTGGCCTCCTAAGTGCAGGGTCCAGGGCATCGGGTCGATTTGTCGCCGCCATGATCACTATGCCATTTTCTCCCCCGATGCCATCTAGAAGAGTTAGCAATTGAGCCACCAGACAATTTTCCGGGGCGTTACTTGAACTTCCCCGTTTAGGACACAACGAGTCGATCTCGTCAATAAAAAGAACAACCGGTCCTTCGTCGGACAATTCTCTTGCTTGTTCAAAAACTCGCCGCAAGTTCTCCTCGCTTTCGCCGGGCCTCGAACCGTAGATTATAGGGCCGTCGATGCAAAGGAGGCTGGCACCGATTCCCCTGGCGACCGATTTCACCAGAAGTGTTTTGCCCACTCCTGAAGGCCCCACCAAAAGCACTCCTCTAGGGACAGAAAGGCCCAGCTTCTGGAAGGTTTTCGGAAAACGCAAGGGCAAGTCGATCATCTCTTTTAAGGAGGTGCTGGCGTCGTTCATGCCCGCCACCAGGATTTTGGCGCTGTCCTCCGTTGAACTGTTGTGCCAATCTAGTGTGACTGCCTCTTTGACAGTTACACCAGTTTTGAGGGTGACCAAACCGGCTTCTTCTGTGGTGGCAGGCTCCATGGACAATATTTCAACACATGCCAACGGATTGCCCTGAATTGGCGCAAAGGTAACGACGTGATGGGGAGAAACGTAGACCTTTCTCAGAAGTTCCTTAACCATGTTCTGCACCATGGTTTTCGGAGTGGATTTTTTCAAGGCACGGTTCTTAAAGATGGCTTTGACTGTCACTCTCCTGAGCTTGCAAGAAGGCAGGAGCTTCAATTGGTCCATGCTCACAGTGAGATTTTGGGGCCAGCACTCCTTTAAGCCCAAAGTTCTGCACTTGAGATCGACCTGCAAATAGCCATCGGCCAAATCGTGCCTCGGCCAGGCGGCACAGAGACAGCTGCCAGTAGGGAGGGTGACCTTCACCGGGGAGCCCAGTGTGGCACCCAGGGCAGAGAATATAGCAGGCCCCAGCCTGCACCTTTGGGTGCCTTCATCTTCGGGAACCTGCGGCAACAGCTTTAACAAAGCCATCTTCACGGCAAACCGCTGGGTTGCAAATCATGCGCGCAGATGTTTCTCTGAACAGTTTAGAATGAAGAGGAAAAAAGAAAAGAAAATTAGCTGATTCTATTTAACAATAGTGTGAGCGGGTTTTAGGAAGGGGGGAAATAGATTTCAGGGAGAGGTGCAAGTTTCATAGAAAGGTTCAAAGTTCTTGGATGCATTCAAGAATAAATTACAAGACAGCCATACAGTGGTACCTCGGGTTAAGTACTTAATTCGTTCCGGAGGTCCGTTCTTAACCTGAAACTGTACTTAACCTGAAGCACCACTTTAGCTAATGGGGGTCTCCTGCTGCTGCTGCGCCACTGGAGCACGATTTCTATTCTCATCCTGAAGCAAAGTTATTAACCCGAGGTACTATTTCTGGGTTAGCGGAATCTGTAACCTGAAGTGATGTAATCTGAAGCGTATGTAACCTGAGGTACCACTGTACATCTGAAGAGACTTTCTGTTATCATTCCATACATAAAATTTGCCTGAAAAAGAAATACTTTTCTGAATCACAGAATGTGAAGGGGTCTGCCTTTCCTGAATAGTTTATCTAAGACATGGATGGAGGACCTCAAACTGAGAGGACCAATGGCCCTCCAAGCCTCTTTATATGGCCCTCAGACAATTCCTAGCCCCAGTCCTTCTTCCCAGGCCACATCCTTCACCTGCTTTACATCCTCCCCAAGTTCTTTTGCCTGGCTAGAATGTGCCCTTGACCCCCGATTGTACAGTGGTGCCCCGCAAGACGAATGCCTCGCAAGACGAAAAACCTGCTAGACAAAAGGGTTTTCCGTTTTTCGATGCGCTTCGCAAGACGATTTTCCCTATGGGCTTGCTTCGCAAGACGAAAACATCTTGCGAGTCTTGCGATTTTTTTCTCGCTCCCCCCCTTTTCTAAGCCGCTAAGCCGCTAATAGCCTTTTAGCCGCTAAGCCTTTAATAGCCGCTAAGCTGCTAATAGCGCTAATCCGCTAATAGGGTTGCTTCGCAAGACGAAAAAAACGCTAGACGAAGAGACTCGCGGAACGGATTATTTTCGTCTTGCGAGGCACCACTGTATTTTTTGCTTGCCAGGACACAGGAGAAAGAGGGATCTAAGAATGTATGTAGAAACAGGCCTACTGTAATAAATAAACAAACAAACAAACAAATAAATAAATAAATAAATAAATAATTTAATTTATATCCCACCCATCTGGCTGGGTCTCCCCAGCCACTCTGGGTGGCTTGCAACATATAAAACACTAAACATCAAACATTAAAAAACAAGGTATCCTATACAAGCAACATGCAATAAATCAATAAAAATCAATAACAATAATAATAACCAGTTTACAGTTATACCCAAATTAAAGTAACCACCAACCCCAACTAAACATTTAACCAACATCAACCCAACAAAAATGAAACAGAGGAACCAAAATTACCTTTTACAAAGGTAAAAATTACTGTTCCACCCACTTTTGCTTCTGGGCATGTATCCCCTGGGAGGTTGCCTATTAGGAAATGTAGCCCTTAGAAGTATGTGTGTATATATATATGGATGTGTGTATATATATGTGTGTGTGTGTATATATATATATATATATATATATATATACACACACACACGGTAAAATAAGATGCTTATATGATCTTCATGCACGTAATGTTGCCTATTTATATATGCTGCACATTTCCTCTACCAACATAACCAACGTAGAGGCAGCAGCGTTCACTTTGAATCTGCTGTGAAACCCCTTTTAACGACCAATTCACAATTCACAAACAAGAAAAGTTGGCCCTTGGATACATGCAGAAGACCTTCACCTCGTTGTTATGGGCAGCCAGCTGTCACAATATGGGGGGCAAGAGGCCACAATTTCTAGGTAGCCTTAGCAGGCCTTTTGTTGACCCAGCCAGTAGTTATAGGAAGCCCATAAAGCCCATTGCTAGAGCCTAGGCTTTTCATACAGAAGGTTACAAGTTCAATCCCAACAAAAAGCACCAAGTAGCTGGAGAAGCATCAGGAGAAGCTGCTGCCAGCCAGAGTAGGCAATGCTGGCCTAGATGGAGCAATAGCCCAACAATGGCTTAAGCGGCTTCCTATACTCTTATCTTGGAACACGGGTGGCGCTGTGGGTTAAACCACAGAGCCTAGGGCTTGCCGATCAGAAGGTTGGTGGTTCGAATCCCAGCGACGGGGTGAGCTCCCGTTGCTCGGTCCCTGCTCCTGCCAACCTAGCAGTTCGAAAGCACGGCAAAGTGCAAGTAGATAAATAGGTACCGCTCCGGCGGGAAGGTAAACGGTGTTTCCGTGCGCTGCTCTGGTTCGCCAGAAGCGGCTTAGTCATGCTGGCCACATGACCCGGAAGCTGTACGCCGGCTCCCTTGGCCAATAAAGCGAGATGAGCGCTGCAACCCCAGAGTCGGTCACGACTGCACCTAATGGTCAGGGGTCCCTTTACCTTTACCTTATACGCTATCTTCCAACACACAAACTCAATTCTGAAAGCAAAATGCTCAAGGATAGGTACGCAATTATTTCATCAAATTTATATCCTGCTTTATTGCTTTTTTAAAAACCCAGTAAACACAAAGGAATAAACACAAAGGAACCCATTCCCAGAGACAGGCATCCCAAGCCATTCATGAAATACAGCCACAATAAGCAACATTTCCCAGTTTAATTTCTAAAAGCTTGAGTGTCTGCAGGATTTTTCCTCAGGTGGGAGATGGAGATAGATACACCCCCCCGTAACTGAACTAAGACTTTCTAATTTCTTTATTATGCATTTTATATTCTCATTTTGCTCTGTTTTTTCTGTCGTGAGCTGCGCTGGGCTATTCGGATGAAGGGCAGTATACAAATTTAATACCTAATTAAGATACGATCATTGCTCTAGCCGGCATTTTAGGGCAGCATTCGGATTAACGATAATTATTTTCCATTGTCTTGCTGCCCCGTTTATCTGATGGGATTTATGGATGCGGCTGAGAAATGTGAATAATTAAGCATTATTTTAGAAGGAATAAAATAAAGATGAAAGGCAAGTTTCTGATGAAACAAAGGAGAAAAGCGCCCGCATATCTCAGGTAGAGATATAATAAGGTATAATAAGACTGCAGCCTAAACACTCACCAGGCACCAGCGACTTGTCTTAAAGGCAAAGGCATTTTCTCCTTTTTTGCAAGCAAGCAAAGGGAAAGGGGGAAGGAAATGGTACAGTGCAGCCCGCTAATTGGCTAACAGGCCTGCCAATCAATTCTCCCCGCAAAAGAAGTCAATCAGATGAACCCTTGGAGCGCGTCGCTTTTCCTCCGGTCCCATCGAAAGCGGATGTGGAGTGGAAGGTTCCAATCAGAGAACGGGGGGTGGTGGTAGTAGTGGGTGGGACAAAGGAAAGAGGAACAGGCTTCTGGTTGGACGCTGGGTGGCGCATAGTTGCAAAAAGGGAGGTGTCTATTTTATTGAGAGAAGCTTGGGAGCAGTTGTGTTGGGCAGCTGTGTGAGGTTTATTATTTTTTTTGGGGGGGGGACTTAATTTTTGCAACTTTATTCAGTGAAAATATGTTTTTGGGTGCTATTATTTTTCAGATTGCACAGCATTCAGTTTGGTAAACCTAGGTCGTATTAAAAAGCACATAACTGTTCTCTGAAAACCAAAGAATTTTAATTTTATCTTCTGAAAATGTCAAGTAATGCTTAATAATAATAATAATAATAATAATATATGCTCTTATGAAAGTGCAGGTTATTACAATAATCCTGCCAATGTTTGTACCTGTTTATAATTTATCTCTAAATATTAAATCATTTCCACTCTTTTATTTAAAAAAATGTTATCTTGATTTCTTATTCGTCCGGTAATTTTCGCCATCTCTGCATATTCCACAAGTTTTTGTATCCATTCTTCATTTGCTGGGACTTCTGCTTCTTTCCATTTTGGGACTAGTGACATTCTTGCCGCTGTAGTATATAAGAGTATACATTTAAAGTAGATGAAAAAGTGAGCAAATTAAGTTAATTTGAATATGCAGAAGGAATTAAAAATAAATTTAAGGAACCGCAGAAAGGGGGGGGGAGGAAGTCAAGTTTTGAAATGTTAAAATGATTGTAAAATCAGTGAAATGTATAAACCTGAAATGTAGAAAAAAATTAAAATAATAATATAAAAAACCTGCAAGTACTTGGCAATCATTTTAATGATTTCTATGCACTTTTGCACAGATTTTACATACTAAGCAAAATAAATTACATAAGTTGCACCCAAATATCTTTTGAATTCCCAAGTCACGTTAAAATGTTTTATACCCCTCATTTTTGGTATTTGAAAAATTCAGCACGTTCCATCGAGGGAGCAAGTCCTGTTGGTCTCAGTAGGACTTCTAAATAAATGTCATTAGGATTTTTATACACATGTGTTAATTTATTTTACAGTGCAATGCTAACCGGACCTGTTCAGAAGTGAGTAAATTCATTGGGGGCTTACTCCAGGTATGCTCAGGTTAGGATTTTGGCTTTATAAATAGAAAAATACTCACCTTTCCCTCCAAGGAGCTCAAGGTGACATACATAGTTCTCTTCCTTCTCATTTAATCCCCACAACAATCCTGAGGTATTTTAGGGTGAGAGGCAGTAACTGCCCCAAGGTCACCCAGTGATTTGAACCCCAAACTCCCAGGTCCTTGTTTTAACATTCTAACCACTACACCACAGAGGTGCTCCTAATGATATTTCCTCTCATCCGTCTCTTAGATTATAAAGTGAAGTTATATTGATTTATTATTATCACAGAATACAATGGAGGGGACTGCGAGGGACATCTAGTCTAACCCTCTGCAATGCAGGAATCTTTTCTCTTGAACCCACAACCGTGAGATTAAGAGTCTCATGCTTTACCGATTGAACAATCCAAGCTACTCGCGAAGACCCAAAGACCAAAACTTTAATAAATAATGGGGGGTGGGGGTGGGATTACAATTTACTTGAGAGACCAGTGTAAGCAGATGAAAACATTAGCAGGATTGCAATAACACTGATAATGTAGAAACTGTTGTTGTTTAGTCATTTAGTCATGTCCGACTCTTCGTGACCCCATGGACCAGAGCACGCCAGGCACTCCTGTCTTCCACTGCCTCCCACAGTTTGGTCAAACTCATGCTGCTAGCTTTGAGAAAACTGTCCAACCATCTCGTCCTCTGTTGTCCCCTTCTTCTTGTGCCTTCCATCTTTCCCAACATCAGGGTCTTTTCCAGAGAGTCTTCTCTTCACACGAGGTGGCCAAAGTATTGGAGCCTCAGCTTCACGATCTGTCCTTCCAGTGAACACTCAGGGCTGATTTCCTTCAGAATGGAGAGGTTTGATCTTCTTGCAGTCCATGGGACTCTCAAGAGTCTCCTCCAGCACCATAATTCAAAAGCATCAATTCTTCGGCAACCAGCCTTCTTTATGGTCCAGCTCTCACTTCCATACATCACTACTGGGAAAACGATAGCTTTTACTATACGGACCTTGGTTGGCAAGGTGATGTCCCTGCTTTTTAAGATGCTGTCTAGGTTTGTCATCGCTTTTCTCCCAGAAAGCAGGCATCTTTTAATTTCGTAGCTGCTGTCACCATCTGCAGTCATCATGGAGCCCAAGAAAGTAAAATCTCTAACTGCCTCCATTTCAAGTAGAAACTACTATGGACCAAATGGAGAGACATAAAACTTGTTGGATGATGAAATAATATGCAGTTGGAAAGGTTGATAATAGGGCCCGTGTAGAGGAAGGTGGGAAGTCTAGAGATTCAGAGAAATCTCTAAATATGGATAATGTATTTGGTATTGTTATAATCTTACACTTGTGAAATCAAATAAAAATCATTTCCAAAAAAAGAGAGAGCAATCCCTGCTACAATACTTTTATTATTAAGGATGGAGAGGCGTAGCAAAGTGGCCCCAGTGCTTTTCTGGTAGTGGTTTTGAGGCACACCTTGTTCTCGCACTCATGCAGAGTAAAACGACAGGGCTAGATCCGTGAGGAACAGTACAGGAAAAGAGAGCACAGAGGGGTTTTTTTTTGTTCTGCTTAAGACACTTCTAGAGTCCTGACCAGAGAGGAATGGCAAACTAAGCGGATGGACTATGCCGAAATGGCAAAATTGACCAGAAAGCTCAGGAATCAAGAAGACAAAAACTTTAAGAAAGAATGGGAAAAAATTATAATATACAGTGGTACCTTGGAAGTGGGGCGTGGGTGCTGCTGTGGGTTAAACCACAGAGCCTAGGACTTGCCGATCAGAAGGTCGGCGGTTCGAATCCCCGCAATGGGGTGCGCTTCCGTTCTCCAGTCCCAGTTCCTGCCAACCCAGCAGTTCGAAAGCACGTCAAAGTGCAAGTAGATAAATAGGTACCGCTCCGGCGGGAAGGTAAACAGCGTTTCCGTGTGCTGCTCTGGTTTGCCAGAAGCGGCTGAGTCATGCTGGCCACATGACCCGGAAGCTGTACGCCGGCTCCCTCGGCCAATAAAGCGAGATGAGCGCCGCAACCCCAGAGTCGGCCACGACTGGACCTAATGGTCAGGGGTCCCTTTACCTTGGAAGTAGGATGGAATCCGTTCCGGAAGTCCATTTGACTTCCAAAACATTCAGGAACCAAGGTTCCTGCAGCCAATCGGAAGCCACATCGAACATTTGGGTTCCAAAGGACATTAGAAAACCGGAACACTCACTTCCAGTTTTCAATCATTCGGGAGCCAAAACGTTAAACTCCCAAGGCATTTGAAAACCAAGGTACGACTGTACTTAGGAGACCACTGTAAGCAGATGAAAACATTAGCAGGATTTTAATAACACTTGTAACAATTAGAGTCAAACCTTGGTTCCCAAATGCCTCCGTTTTGGAATGTTTCGGCTCCTGGATGCTGAAAACCTGGAAGTGTTCCGGTTTTTGAACGTTTTTTTGGAAGCCGAACGTTCGATGCGGTTTCTGCTTGAGTGCAGGAAGCTCTTGCAGCCAATCGGAAGCCGCACCTCGGTTGTCAAACATTTCAGAAGCCGGACAGGCTTCCGCAATGGATTATGTTGGACAACCGAGGTTTGACTGTACAATATGGACAGATTCAAAACATAGATTACTGTCAGGGAACTGACATCGGAGCCAGAGGCGGAGGGAAGGCTCCCAAGCGTTGCTGGAGAAGGGCCCAGCAGGGAGAGAGGCAGCTCATCAGCTGGGGAAGGAAATGAGCGTAACACCAGGGATAAAGGGGGGCAGATGGGAGAATCGGTGAGGGGGCTCCAGGACTCCTCGCCGGAGACCAGCGAAGAGAGCACGGGTCCTCCGCTACCCACACCCTCTCTGCGCAGAAGACTTCCGCGCAGAGAGAGTAGGAGGAGACTTGGAGTCAAACAGCTTTTATGCTGGAAAAGGTTTAAGAAACGCCCACCTACGGATTCTGCTAGCGACTGAAACAGCCACGAAGTGAAGGGCTGTCCAGACAGAAAAGGCTTAACCAGGCACACTAGCCAGGAGTGGCGGCAACTTACGCACAAGCAACCCCTATAATCATTACAATTACGAAACAAGATGCAGTTGAAAACGTTCACAATAAGACCCAAGGAGGGAATGGCGGGGGGAGTCGAGAGATTAAGAGAAATTTCACTGTGTGGACCTTTATTTGGTACAGTGGTACCTCGGGTTACATACGCTTCAGGTTACAGAACCCAGAAATAGTGCTTCAGGTTAAGAACTTTGCTTCAGAATGAGAACAGAAATTGTTCTCCGGCGGCGTGGCAGCAGCAGGAGGCCCCATTAGCTAACGTGGTGCTTCAGGTTAAGTACAGTTTCAGGTTAAGAACGGACCTCCTGTATTGTTATAACTTTACGCTTGTAAAACCAAATAACAATTGTTTTTTAAAAGAAAAAGAAAAGACACTTCTAGGAGCCACAGCCGGTGCTGCAGTTGGGAAATGAGAGAATAACTTCTGGCTTTGACTGCTAGAGGGGCAGGCGTGAGCTGGCTTCATATTCCAAATGCACAAGTCTGGCTGAAGACAGTCTCTGCAGCGATCTTTGCATTGAGTTGAGCTTCAGTAACATGGCACGTATTTGCATGCACAAAGTGTGGCTTTCACTTAAAGGATTTCAAGGAGCAAACCATGGAAAGACCTCACTGGAGTGCTGCTGTTAGATGGACCAGACAACATGAGGCAAAATGGGCCAATAGCCTCAGTGTAAAGGTTTATATATTTATAGGATATAAATCCAGTCCAACTTCCTGCAGTGCAGGAATCTTTTGCCGAATGTGAAGCTCGAACCCAAAACTCTGAGCTTAAG